CATTTCATTTAAAAACTAGCATTTGGGGAGTTCCTGAAAAATACACAAAGTCTGGGACAGAAGGAAAAAAACCTGCTTCAATCTTCCCAAAGCCCATGCACTTTTCCCTGTTACAGAAGGAAATATGTTCCTTCTTTACGTCAACACCACTTTCTCCTACTGGAGCTAAAAAGAGCAAAATCTACCTCAATTACCTTCTTAGATATGATCTAAAATTCCAAGGTATAATGAGATAAGGTATGAGAAGAAAAAAAAAATTCCTTCAAAACAGAAAATAAAATACATAAAAACCATCCTGTTTGTATTTCTTAAAATGCATACTATTTTAGGATTCCACTCTCCTCCTTCATTGTTCTTATTACAGAACCTTACAGCGTTCTCACAGATTAGGACTCAATTGTCACTTTCTGTCCTTATAATTTAAATTCCTGCATAAACATCCACATAATAATCCACATTTCACTGCTGAGAGGTAAGACTATCACAGTAGTACGATGTGTTCACAGTAGCTAGAAAATAACCACCTACCTTCACATTGTTATGTCAAAATTGAGAGATCTAAGAAGGGGTTTGACAAAGGCAAAAAATGCTGAGGAATTATAGCCCAGGTTTAGCTTGAAACCTGAAACTTATATGATTTGCCATGAGTAAGAGATTGTTTTTTGAAGTGTTGTGCAAAGCTGGAAGAATATAACAATTCCAAAAATACACAGTGATCTGATCTACAAAATGTTATGAGTTGTAGAATGACCTCATAAAATAGATCTTTTTCATTGTGTTATTTCAATGAGCCAAGGTTTTAAGCTATTGATTCTTACAAGATATAATCAATTTTCTACTGTTTATCTCATGAGCCAGAAGAGTTTGATGTTTACTTTGGTCCAAATTGTTTATCAAATGTTTATTCTATTTTCACTATGTCAATTAGTCATTACATGATGCCTTAGCCAGCACTCTTAAGATTTCAGAATTCAACTAAGTAGCACAACTATGAAAATACAGCCATCATAAATCATTTTATTTTTCCTATCAAACTTTTCACTTCATTATGTCTTTCTCCAAAACTTTGCATTTTCCATTACCTGGCTGAATTTCCCCAAAGGGAAATGGTGCAATTTCACTCAAGGAAATAGCAAAATGGACATCAGAGTCCGCATCATAATAAAACCATTTTGGACTAATAATTTTTTTTCATGAAAAAGACTTGCTTTAGTAATGATTTAACTAACCATGTTTTTTCCTAGTAGTTAATAATTTCAGTATAGTTAAACATTATCCTTTAAATTAATCCATATTTGATTTCTTGATGACAAATTAGTTTGGTAGTAAATGCATTTACACAGAAAATACAGCAAAAAACTACTAGCAATTAAGCAGAGTACGTTATGCAAGTCTAAAAGACACTATTATTATAGCATAATACAATTGCTATTAGGAGGAATAAGAGATACAGTTTTTATTGCACTATGTTGTTATTATTATTATTAAACTATGTTTTATTGAACTATTGAACTGTCCAGTTCTCTCGGGCATTACTGACCAGGAAAAGTGCAAAATTATCTCTTGAAAATCAAGTACTGTTCATTTTATTTGGCCAAACTGTTTCTTTATTATATAACAACTTTTCTGGTTCCAGTTAATAAGTAAAACTAAAAAAATGTCAGTAGCATCATCAATGGGCTAAAAATATTAAGGCCTTTTCTGAAAACGAATCAGGTGCAGATATTGAACTGTACTTTTTCATCCTTTGTCTCACTTTTCAAATGATAATTTCTTCCACAGCCACCATTAAATCTTGATCTATTCCAGCTCTCTGTATGGGTCACTGATTCTAGATGTACCATGGTTATTTTTAAATGTTTCCCTTTCGTAGAGAAAAAGAGGGCTGTCTAGAGCCAGATGGGTAACTTCACACTTCATTTATCAAACCCAATGCACTAGACTCCACCCTCTCTTTCCCACTATTGCTGTTCAATTTCCATATAATTTGCTAACAATTTTCATTAACATACAGTGACCCTAAAAAGTCTACACAGGTTTGCACAGTTAGTCCAAAATTCACAGCTGTTCCTGTTACCCTCTGTTTCTTACAGTAGAATCTAAGGTTCCCCTCACTTGGTAAGCTGAACAGTGACCTTCTGTACGCGCGGGTCAAGAAGGGGTCAGTTCAAAGGGCTAGAGCAGCTCTTTAACAGCTATAACAACCTGTCCATCAGGCACTATCATGCCGTATAAACAAATCTGGGGCTTTAGAAACTCTGGACCATTTCTGTTAACACTTAGAGGACATTCATTGAGTCCTACCTGAAGTATTTTGGATCACCACCACTCAGCACAGAACAATTTGAATCCCTACAAGACCTGCTCAGACACTTAAGATAATGATGACATCATTGAGTCAAAAGTATAAGAAACAGTGAGCCACAACACAAAACGCAGTACCATGTGTTTTGGACTATGGAGCTGAAATAAGAACCTAAAAAGTAATTTCAGTTGGTTAATATGCAGAAGCAGTGGCACAACGTAAAGCAAACAAGGCAACGACATGATTTAATCAAGTAGATACATACACAAACCAAACCAGTTCAGATGCCTTTCTCTGAGAAAGGTTGAATTTTTAAAAGTTGAATCCATTGGTATGAAAGGTTCCCAGCATATATTTTTTTTATTTAAGGTGTCAATGACACAAATAAAACCCATGAGAGAACAGAATGCCTACATATCTCAAAGACCAAGTGCAGAGTGAAGTTTCTGCCAGCAGCCCTCCCTTCATTGACCTAAATTTCTTGAAGTTGTACTGTTCATAACATGCTCTCTAAAGCACAATGTAAGGTAATTAGAGTCATCTGTATTTAACTTCCAGAGGAAAAAAAAAAAAAATCTATTATCTAATCTAGCTGATCCCCTGATAGCCTGTTGAAAGTAAAATACTGTAACCTATTGCCTGCCCTTTGACAAGTGCTAATTATTTCCTGTCTAAGCACATTTTTCTCATGTAATTCCAAAGTACACAATAGACTGATCTCTAAAACATGGGCAGCCCTGCTAGTACCACGGCGGACGTTTTATAACTTTCACCACCGTATGCTTGATGGCTACCACAACCAGGGCTTCATTCCAGACATCTCGCTGAAGCTTTGATGAAGGGAGGTGTATGGTAACAGTCTGTTTATGCAGATCATATGGATGAGACTCTCAGATATGTCACTGGGATGGGAAACATCAAATGGAAAGAAAAAGGATTATGGATATTTAATACTCAAAGGACACTTTCTTTCAGAACTTTCAAGGCACAATGCTCTTGAAATTTTCTTTCAGGTGTTTAGATTTAAGCAGGCCTGCACTTTGTCTGCTTGTGCCTCCCTCCACCCCCATACAAGAGCTTCAGCGTTTCTGTGTCGGAGCAGAGGCTCTGCCTACAGCTGCTGCGCTGGCTCCAGCCTCTGAGCATGACCTGAGCAGCGAGCAGAGGTCAGGAACACTGTAACCACAACACTTTTAAATGAGTCCCGATCGTCATGATTCCTGATGACTTCATATATTAGGAAATCATTGTTAAACCACATGAACACTAAAAAGATGCTCCACCCAGACTTGTTTAGCCTTTTCCTATCTCTAGGAAGCTTTCTACTTTGGTTCACAACAAAGATGCACGTGTCCCACGGAAAAGCCTTCAGTGATTTCCTCCGTTTCCAAGGTAGCCAAACTTTTTGCATTAGTTAGTAAGCACGGTGAGGGAAGGCAAAAAAATCCCCACAAAAATCCCTTAAATTCCTCAAAAAGGAAGAAACAAAACCTACATGACAGTACAAACAATATTGTAAGACCCACCTTACCAAGCTCCGAGATATTAAGTGATTAGTATACAAATAAATATTCCATGCTCATAAGAATGCAGACTCATAAAACGCAGCCTCTTATTTGTAGTAATAATGTCAGATACAATATCTACAATTAACTTTTTAAAGTAAATTCCATAGAATTTTCAGGAACTTTCCAAAATCATACAAAAACAAAACACAGGAGAACTCCCTTATCTGAAACATTTAGTGCAGATTAAAAAAATCCTGTAAATTAAGTGCTAATTTTGATTAACAAAACCTCATTTAAAAAATACTTTTGACTGAAATTTGTATTTAATTGTAACCACAGGACATCTGGTTTTAAAGGAAAGCTGTACAACCAGTGGAAAAATTTCATGGACTTAAGATATTTTGCATAAATATCATAAATACGAAAAAAAGATTATTAAATTAGTATAAATCTATAGCTTTTAGAAATAGATGTGAAAAAAGGTGACATCAACTCATTTAGCAGTTAAACAGAAGCACACAAGGTGGCATATGGTAGAAATTATCTTTTTTGAATTCACTTATTTCTGAAAGAACAAGTGTGATGCACCTGTAGTTTCTTAAATGCATTCATCTGACTACATTCATTCCAGTAACAAATTTTTTCAAATAAGAACATAAACAACTTTTTCAAATTGTTAACAACATCACCTGATTTATTACCATGCCAGTAAGCTCAATTTAAGAACTCAAGCATAACAAAAAAGTCACATGACACGAACTATAGCATTATGTACACTTGTGCCAATCTCATCCAACACAACCCAGTTAACGCCAGTAGGACACCACAAGAAAAAGTGAGGATCATTAAGAAAGCAGACAAGAAGGGTGTCTATTAGCATGGCGTGCCAGTAAGGAGTACTGCTCATACTGGTAGCAATATAAGTAAAACCTTAGGGTGCTTAAAGTGATACCAATCCTCCAATACGCATGCTGCCTACCAAGCTATTATCAATAGATCGCACTACATAAGCACAGTAAGGGAGCATTCTACCCCACATTGACTATTCCATTCAAGGAAAAATACTACTTGAACAGTAAAAAAATTTAGTATTTTTTCAAAAGATGTCCTCCCCAGGGGATTTGTAGCACTATATTTGACATTCTTCTTTGTTTTTATTACCTTACTATTTTTCAAAAATTTCTCACCTTGCTGTCCATTCTTTACGCAGCTTTTGTCGCTCAGTAAGAACTAGCAAGAGGCAGTTGATGGTTTCACTCCTTTGTTCCTCCATTTGTTCCTTCTTTCTAACTTCAGAGAGGATCAGGCTTGTCTTAAAGGGTAAAAACACATAAAAATTATAATCTAGAAATAAGAAACAATGTGCAAAATGAATAAAAAGCCCATAAGCAAATAAGGACAGTAAATCAATAGCTTTTTTTATTACAGTTCCACTGCTGACAAATCAATACAGTAAATGATGGTTAGAAATGGCCACCATATATTTGGTATTTAATCAATGTACATGGCACATAAGGTAAACCTTAAAATCTCATCGCCTGCCTTAAGTAACACAACAAGACATTGTGCATTCTAGCTCTCATTTTCTTGAGACACAATTCTTCTAATTTCTGAGTATTTTCTTGTATCAAATCATATCAGAAATGTTTCTCTCAACACAGCATTCATTTGGGGAATTTCCCCCTCCCCTTTGATCGCTGGTGAAGCTAAAGAAGAAAATACCCGGTGGTATTGTAAGGAATTCCTCATGATGTCCCCATGTTCTCTTTCTTCTGAAATATTTCAAGTAAACAAGTAGTAAAACACTACCTTTTTTCACTTACGGAATAAATTTAAAATTGCTAAAATATATACACACACACACAGAAAGGATTTAAGTCTTTGTGGAGCAGGATCACACTCAGTCTCTACAGACCAAAAGTTACTGGCCTTCCTAAACGTTGTGCCGACAGTTAATGCTGATGTAAGGAAACCGCAGATGGTCTTAAGTCATTCATCCACCCAGCAAGCTAACCCCAGCTGCCTCACTCCATCTTTACCTCCAACTACCAACTCGCCCACTATTTTCTCTTCTTCTTTTCCCTGCACTTCCCCATGTCTGCCTCCTTGGGAAAGCAACGGCACATGCTGGTGCTCACGCTAACACCACACACATCAGCCAGTGCACACACGCTGACTCGGTGTGCAGCAGTCCAGCCACCACACAGGTCCAGAGTCGATGCTGCAGTCTTCTCCTTCAGTGAAGGTATTATATTTGCTTTTCTGGCCTTAACCAGTCACTGATACTCACCTAATTATTTCTGATATTCTAACCTTCAGTCATATGTTCTGCATATGTACCAAAGTGTCGAAACTCTTTTCGGAAGGATCACTGAATGGACAGAATGCTTGTGCAAACCTAGCTTTCTTACAGGAAAGGAGGCAAATAATACGTATCTACCCTGAGCAATTGTGCAAGCAAGTTTGAAAACATAACTCAAACATCACCAAGAGCTGCAATTCCTATGCCCAGCATGGCCTCTCTTATATGAACAACATGAGAACAAGACACAGCATACAGCCTCCTGCTCTACATCACACACACATCACGTTCTGCCCTGCCCCATCCGCTAGAACACCCACTAAAATGGGTGTACTAATTTTAGTGGGTGCACTAGTTTAGTAGACCCACTAAAATTCCTCTGGGGATTCTGTAAGATAGATCGTTGTTGTTATCTTCAGTCTGTGAAAACAGGAAGGTCTATCCTTGGTCTGACAGGTTTTTTTTTGCATAAGAAAGCGTAACATGCAGATTATACATTTGTGCTATGTAAAGTAGTGGTAACATTGCTACCACCACGGTGGTTCCAAGAGACAAGAACGACATGGTTCAGAGAGACAGAAAATAATTTTAGTACACCAGCATTAGATGACAAAGAGCAAAAAACATCTTCCTCCCCGTCTTCCAGCTCTATCAGCTGGCCTACCAAAAGGCATTAACCTGCCATACAGGACATAAACATCAAAAAGAACATTTTCTTGTAAAAACCCAAAATGTTCAAATCTCTGTCTATACAGATCACATTCTTGACCCTGCTTTGACATAACAAAGCAAACAAAAAGCCAGAGAGTATTTTCAGATAAGGATTCCCTGACATGGGTTTCCCTTGCACTGACCTACAACATCTTTTGCACAAGCTCTAATATCCGCCAACTTCAACAATCCTGATATCTTACAGCCTCACTTCCCGCAGCTGCACACTTTAAAGCAGGATTTGATAGAGGACTTCAGCATGTGGGAACATACTCACATAAGACATTCTTTAACTGATGTAAATTAACACTCTTCATCATTCAGAATAAATATACCTATTAAGGCTTTAACTTCTATATTTACCATGCGCAAGACTTGACAAAGCACTATTAACTAAAGCTTATCTCTGTACTATAGGTTGACCAGACTGTAGCTGTACAGCAAGGTTTCGCTTTCAGAATCCTTGGATGGCCTTGTTAATCCAGTGGGATACGGAAATCCAGTGGTGATAATGTAGAAGTCCACTTCTCGCCACGACTGCAGAAAAGCCCCAAGTTTAATGATGGTATGCCTCATAAAGCTGCAAGTATAGTTATTTGCAGGCAATAAACATCAAGATTCCCCTAAATAAGTTATTGCCAAAGAGCAGAGCATGGAGAACTGAGAGTTCCTAAAGAACTGTCAGTTAAAAACTGATGAAAAGATGATGTGATTAGAGTATTACCAATCCAAGAAGATGGGTGACCACTTCTCCAAGTATTCACAATCACATAATGCTTTTGTATGAATTCTGATGGCCTGGCCAGCTCACAACTTCGGTACTGAGTTTCACTACCTAAAGTCTCCTCCACCTACAGGAAAAACTTAAGTTTGGAAATTGAGCATAATTTGATTTTTACTGAGAAAACAATTACACTGCCCCAGCCCTGCGTTAGCACCTTACATTTATGCAGTGATGTACACAGTTCAAGTCAAACTCATAGTTTGACACTGGCATCATAAATGCTTCTTTACTGAGCCCTGAGAGTACAGCTGCAGCTGCCTGCAGTGTGAAACAGTACTGTCAAGCAACAGACAACAACAATACATAGCAACTTAACTGATTTCCTTGTCTTCTAAAGTGCTGAGGGCAGTAAGGTTACCTGGAAGGCAAGTGGTGGGCTCGATACGCAGCTTTTCTAAAGGCATTTCTTAATGACTTGCTATTCTTCTCACCTCAATAAAAATCCCAAACTGTAACAAACAAAGTAGCATTTCGGGTAAAACAATATTATAAACTACATTCCTTTGAAAGTTTTCTTTTCCATGTAACTTGTTTTGGGATTTATTTTTAACAAGAGGATTCAATATATACCTTGACTGATAAAGGTCAAGGGTTCAAGAAACTCGGTCAAAGATGTCATCAGCTGGAAAAGCCATTTCCTCACATCAACACTGATAAAAATCCATCAGAAACCCAGCCAATACCACCCCTGCTCTAAAGGGCAGGAACGACCTTCTTTTGAACATCATTACACTTGCACATCCCATCAAAGAAAATCTGATCTTGTGTCTCAATTCTTTTAATGTTCTTTAATGACAGATAATCGTCCACAGAGGCCCCCTTTGCCCAATGCTGAGTGAAGCCTTCACATTTCTGACTCGGTGTTTTTCAGCGCACTTGGGACCGCAGTACAGTAGAATAAATAAACAGTGTAACCAGCCCTACAGCCTGTCTTATCTCATCCTTGTGTTCACAGAGATTCTTGAGGGTGGTAAAATTTACAAAGCGTTGAAACTTCCTTTCTTCTGCTTCCTGCACTGGTAAAAACATATCCTGGACAATCTAAGCAACAAGATTATGCAACTTATTTATCACTGGAGGGAAGCAACTTCTTGTCTCATTGGCTAGCGTGTCTCTTTAATAAGTAGTAGTTAGTATTTTTGCAAATCTTCCCCAATTCTCCTTACAGATCTATTAATGTATTTAGGGCATTTCCTAGTGATTCCCAAATGGCATGGTCTTAAGAACAAACACACAACCCACCTCTCAAAATAGCCCAAAGCTATATAAGCGTGTATATAGCGGTTGCCAATCCAGCCTTCTATGTTCAAGATAGTATTTAGGAAATTATACCCTTTACCTTCCTCCTGGTACAGCAGCAGAATGAAATCTAGCGCTCTACTGTCATATCAGGCAAGAGCCATCCAAGCATCTTCTCTTATCATGTAAGAAAGAAAGGTACTAAGATAAGATCTTAAGAGACAAATGTCATGTTCCTCTTGACCCCACTGACAAAATATATCAGTGACATGGGACTGAACAGAAACTGTTATTACCAACTCTTACTATTCGTCCAGGATACACTCAAAATTAGACACCTTTTATTAGTTTTAACAGAGCTAACCTAGGTATTGTAACAGGATTACAACAGTATTTTCTTTTTTTTTTAGACACACAGCAGAAGAAACTATGCTTCAACATAAATAGGCCACTATCCTGCTTTAAACAACAACAAAGCACCCTCTAAACACTCCAAAACGCACCCTGGTACATTCTCAGCCTTCTAAAGCTAGAGTTTCCTTCCTTCAGCACAGACCTCTCAAGGAGCCAGACTTAAGGTTAGAAACACTGCATAGCTGGAGACATGAAGCCTAGTATTCTGTCAAACAAATTAGCCTTCAGTCTGAACTAAAGTGGCACTTGCGACAGTTTGTCTCTTGGTCCCACTTTATTGGGTCAACAAATCAGACTTTTCTCTCTGAGTTAAGATTTAATTTACTCACCACGAGTTTAAAAAGGATAAGCTTCTGTGTCTTCACTAACAACTTCTACTTTAATATAGCAGTCATCTCTCAATAATCAATAACTAATACAGAAAGGAGAACATAAAGGGTAAAATCTGTAAGCAGGGCTAAAATTTTAAATGTCGCTCTGTCTTCTTTGCTATTTTTGTGACTTTATTTTGCTCTTAGTGCAAGAAGTATCCTGATGAAAGTCTGTAAAACTGGAACACCGTGCCTTTTGGGAGGTGGGGTGAGGGGGAGGAGAACCTGAAATCTATTAAGCCATGTTAATTTAACATGTCAAAACCTCTATGCGATAAAAAAGCTAGTAATTGCTTACAAACCACTGCTCATTTCTTCTTTACTTTAAAAATTTTTTCTTAAAATATGAGCAAATACACCCATTTTCATTGATACAATGGAAACAGTCAGTATGTTTTAAGTTATCACCCAGTAATTTGGGCACATTAAACCCAAATCTCTGTCTTTTGTTTATTAATCCACTACGCCAGATATCACAGTTTCACTCAGCA